AAGACAAGTACAATTATAAACTTATAATTCAAATTAAATTAAAACATAACTTCTATTATTACATGCAGCCCAGCATCTTCCCACTTTAGTCGTGAAAAAGGAGTAGTTCATACAAGCTCAAGCTGGACAACAAAAACAAATCCTGAATAAGTAGACTCTATTTTATGTACTCTTTAAATCTATTAACTCAAGTCTCTAACTTGAGAGAAACTAATCTTCATATGTCTAGATATTAATAATAATGAAAAATATACAATGTAAGGTGAATCTATTTCCCAACTCAGTCCATTTCCACCAAAATATTCCATATATTTTTCCAAAAATTACATTATAAGTATTTATAGAGTGACTGAATAAGCAATTTTTTTAAATTGAGCATTTATAGCAAGCATCTTTCTGGGTGCAGGGGATAAGGAGTAAATAAAAACTACTTCAGTAACTTTGCAGAGTTGAAATTGTAGTGGGAGGAGACAGGTGTTATAAACACAAATTACTTTTCACATATTATTTCTGATAGTTGTAAACAATATTTGAAAAGAAACAGAAGTAACAGACAAGGGAGTTGCTATTTTACAGAAAGAGAGCAAGCTCTGAAAAGATGACAGACACCAGATCACAGGGAAGGAGGGAAACATGGATATCTGGGGTAAGAGTCTGCAGCCAAAAGAACACAGTACAAAGGACAACCTGTCCAGGAGTCAAGGAGCTGCCAGGGGCCAGTGTAGCTAGAGTGGAGAGAGCAAAGGGGAGGGTGGTAGGACATAAAGCCGGGGGGAAACCAGGGACAAGATTGGGGACTAAGGGTGTAGCTCAATGGTAGACAGCATGTTTAACATACAGGAGGCCCTGTGCTCAATCCCCAGCACCAGGAGGAAAGAAGAGAGGAGAGGACAAGAGGTGAGGGGAAGGGAACTTAGTGGAGGGAAAAGGAGCAGAGGAGGCAGGGATCTTGAGAACCAAAAGAAAGACTTTGGGTTTTTGTGGGGGTTTTTTTGAGAGAGAAATTGGGTATGGGATGTGGAGGGGTGACACTGGGGATCTTGAGAGAGGAGTGACCTGACTTATATTTTAAAGGATCCAATTGTTATGCTAAGAATAAACTGACAGCAGGATGGGAAAGTATAGTAAGAAACAATGTATTTTGGACCAGGTAGATAGCAGACATTGAGATAAATGGCCATATTGTGGAATATTCTCTAGGTAACCTCAAAAGAATTTTCCAATATGCTAAATATAGACTTGGAGGGAAAAGGAGAAGGTGAAGAGCACAACAACATAGTTTGCAGCCTGGGTAACTAGAAGGATGAAATTGCCATCAGCTGAGAGTAACAACTGCTGATTGAGCAGGTGGTAAGGGGAAGATCATGAATTTGGTATTAGATATTTAAGTTTCAATGTCTATTACATATCCAAAATGGATAGGTGAAAATAAGGTATAAGTTTACTGAACAGACTTGTTTATTTGAGCAGGTGAAAATGATGTTGGAGGACATAAAGGAGCAACCAGGAAAGGACAGGTTCTCTACACACATGATGAGACTTTCAGAATGGAGAACAGACAGTTCATCCATTCACAACCAAGAAGACAGGTCTGTGAGCACAGATGCAAGTAGGCAAGTAGACGAATGCAAGTAGACAGGTTGACAGAAACTACTGCAATGTCTCCTCCAGAAGCTTCTATTTTCATAGTGAAATAAATCAATGAGTCCCTTTTACTGTTTTGCTTGAAATCCTCCAAAGGCTTCCCCTCACTATAAGAATAGAATTCAAATATTTTATCACAGCCCACAGGACCCACAGGACCTACCCCCACCTCCTCTCTCCATTGCCACAAATACTTAAGCCATTAGGGCCTTCCTTCTGTGTCTCAGAAACACAATGAATTGACAAGACTTGGATTCTCTAATTTAATTGTCCCTGTATCTGGTAAGCTCTGTCCCTTGCCATCCCAAGTCTGGCTAATTCTTTCCATATATGTCTCATTTCAAAGGTACTCTCCCTAAATCTTTCTTGAACATCCCATCTAAAATGACCCTTCCTTCTCTCAGTTATTTTACTTATATACTTATTCTGTGTTATCTGCATCTTCCTATAAGAGTGTTTTCTCCCTCCCTCTCCTCTTCCTGTCTGTCAGAATGCCTGTATATTTCTTCTCAGTATTCATCCCCACATGATATAAGTATGTGTGTGTATGTGTGTGTGTGCACGTGCGTGTGTGTGTGTGTGAAGACACAGAGATAGGGAAGGAAAGAGAGAGTGATAGATGGATATTTTTGTGCATTATTCATTTCCTCTAAAAGAATAGCTGCTCCATGACAACAGGTGCTTTATCTATTCTATTCACTCTTATGCCTCCTATTTGCCACACAGTAGTAGCTCAATGAATATTTCTTTTTTAAATTTTTATTTTTTAATATATTTTCATTTTGTTCTAATTAGTTATACATGACAGTGGAATGCATTTTGACACATCATACATAAATGGAGTATAACTTCTCATTCATCTGGTTGTACATGACGTAGAGTTACACAGGTTGTGTAATCATGTATGCACATAGGGTAATAATGTCTGGTTCATTCTACTATTATTCCTATCCGCATATCCCCTCCCCTCTTTTCATTCCCCTCCTTTCACTCCCCTCTATTTAGTCCAAAAAACCTCTATTTCTCCCTCCCTCATTGTGAATTAGCATCCGCATATTAGAGAAAATATTCAGCCTTTGGTTCTTTGGGATTGGCTTATTTCACTTCGCATAATAGTTCCATCCATTTACTGGCAAATGCCATAATTCCATTCTTCTTCAAGATTGAGATATATTCCATTGTGTATACATACCACATTTTCTTCATCCTCAATGAATATTTCTTGATGATAGGTCAAATGAAAATGGAGATGTAAAACATATACAAGGCTGGCATATAGTAAATGTCCAATAAATGTTGCCTGCTATGATGATGACCACAAAGACAGCCATGGAAACAGTCACAAGCACAGCTGAGAAAGGCTAATACTTCCTCTCTGCTTGTGAATCAATCCCTTTTGTCTCATCAGAGACTTTTATTAACTACATATTCCTTCTTCCTCTTCATAGACTCCTTCCCTTCCACAACACATGTGCTGCTGATTGAGCAGGTTGTGAGGGGAATATTATAGGTATTTGCCCATAATTAAAAAAAAAAAAACTTAAAACATATTTTCTTTAACTTTGTGTTATATGTTAGTCAACTTTCCATTACTGTAACAAATATCTGAGATAAATCAACTTACAAAGAGGAAAGGCTTATTTTGGCTCACAGTTTTGGAGGTCTCAGTCCATAATAAGTTGGCCCATTGCTTTGGACCAGTGGCAGTACATGATGGTGGGAGTGAGTGGCAAAGGAAGCTCTCACTTCATAGTGGCGGGGAAGCAAAAGATGTGGTGTGGAGGGGGTGGGGGGTGAGGGGATGAGGTCCCAAAGAAGGCATGCTTCCAGAGCATGCCCCCAGCCACCTAACTTTCTCCCAATAGGACCCACATCTTAAACCCATATCTACCACCTCCCAATGGTACCAAACTGATGACTTTTAATACACAGGCCTTTGGGGGACATTTATCCCAATTCTAGGGTTTTGATTTTGGGCAGTACTGGGGATTGAACCCAGGGTACTTTATCACTGAACAACATCCCCAGCATTTTCAATGCTGAAATTAATAGGCTTTTGTATGTGTATATCTAGATATAAATTCTTAATATAATTGCTGTCATAAAGAGTATTTGAATCTTCAGTTTTTATTAATATTGCCAAATGACTTCCCAAAATACTTCTATTGAAGTAGAGTTTTCAACTCTATAATGAACAATTATTAGTAACTGTAGGTCATGTTTTTAGTGAGGGAAAGTGTGGATAATTCTTGATGTTCCCTAAATCAATCAAGAAAATGACTGAAACTTCTACAAAAACCATGTTGGTACTTTTCTGTAACATATATTTAAAACAAAGGAAAATCAAGCACTTTGGGGGCAGGGCGGGGGGGGTGGATAATTAAAGCACTTTCTCTCCTCAGTTAATTGAAGTTTCAGCACCTATGGCTGGGGTTGTGGCTCAGTGGTAGAGTGCTTGCCTTGCACATGTGAGGCACTGGGTTTGATCCTCAGCATCACATAAAAATAAATAAAGATATTGTGTCTATGTGTGTGTGTGTGTGTGTGTGTGTGTGTGTGTATATATATATATATATATATATATTTTTTTTTTTTTTTTTTTAAAGAAGTTTCAACACTTACTTACTAAATAAGTTCTTCCAGTCTTCAGTCATTCTTCTCCCTAAGCTCAGCAATTCACAGCCAATGAAAACGGAAGTTACATAAAGAAAAAGAAAAAAACTAAAAGCAGAAATTCTACGGAGCACAAATGGCTACTTCTGAACGGGACAGTGAATTTCAACCCTTGTCCTCTGAGATATTTTTTAAAAGTAAGTGTGGTGGGAGGGCTGTTTTTTATTCTCGTTTTTTAAGATCGTTAATTCTCTTCTGTTAGGGAAAAACTACGTATCTTTGCCTAGTTTCTTCTACAGACTGCAAACTCTTTAAGAGAGGTATTTGTACCCCAAATGTATGATATGTCAAGATCATTGTACTGTGGTGTGTAACTAATTAAAACAAATTTAAAAAAATAGAGAGAGGTGGGGAAGAGAAGGTGTTCAGTGGCTTTTAGAAAATAACAGCCTTTTCACCTATTACCAAGCAACTGCTTCCCAGACCCCGCCTCCAAGGTCCACTCCTGGCTGCAACCAGACCTTTAGAGTCCCCCTCCACTCGAGAGCGGTGGGCGTGCCTCTCTCCTCCCCCCTGGCGCCGCGCTGCAAATGGAACAGTCCATGACGTCATGAGGCCGGGGCTCAATCAGATGCGGCGTTTGGGAATTTTTAAACTTAAAGGCGGGGCGGCCCAAGAGTCCAGGGTGTCGGCGGTGCGGTTCCCAGTTTCCTCATCATTTTCCTGGGACCTAGGCTGGCAGGATGGCAGAGGAAGGTGCTGTGGCAGTCTGCGTGCGAGTCCGGCCGCTCAGCAGCAGGTAGGTGGACGCGACAGTGGTCTGGTCGCCAGTGCGGCATCGGGCGCGGCCCGGGTCGGAGGGTAGAGACCTTCCTTGGCTTTTCCTGGAGTTGCTACCTTCTGGCTCCGCTGCTTAGTAACTCCGCGGTTTGCCCGCTTTGTGCCACTGTTCCCCGTCTGTAAAGTGACCAGGAAGGATCAGAGAGCTAGAAGATAACGTCCTAGCTGCGGGATTCGCTTAAATCTTAATCGGACTTGCTGACAGTAAAGACCTTCACCCGTCCCCTGCACTTCCTTTCTGGCATCGGTGCCTCCCTGATCTCCTCGCCCTGGAGAAGTCGTGTCATAGTTACTTGTTTTACACTTCACTAGCTGTCTAAACTCTCTGAGAGCAAGGACTTGCATTGCATTTAGTAGATGCTCAAGACCTTATCCATCCATTCATTCAACAAATTTTACTAATGATTTTTTTATTCACAAGTTCAAACACATAATAGGATCCTTGTCCTGTGGATCTTTCCTCCTAGTGTGAGGAAACAATACAGTAAACAATGCTAAGTGGTGATATATGAGTAGTAAATGCTATCAAAAGAAAAATCAAGAAGAGAAATTAAGTTTGGTTTTTCTAGCCTCTGGCCTTCAACTCAAAATGCTATGCTAACACTTTTTCTATTTGAAAAATTGTTATTAAACACTACGGTCTGTTAACAAATAAGATTGTCAAGATTTTAAATTTTCTATTTTTAAGAAGCTCATTCTCTAACTGGGTGTAAAATAACTACATAAAGAAGCCATTACAATACATTATGATGGCCCAGAGGAGAATGTTTGCCCGAGGAGTCATTAGCCTATCAGAGATGACAGTTTGGGTGAGGCAGGCTGGTGGCTGTAAAGTCCTGACACTTTTCATGAATGGAAGAATAAGCAAGTAACTTAATGGAAGGGAAGGACAATGGTAATCCAGGTATGGAGAGGTTAAGCTAACATCATTTTAGGAACAGCCTCAGATTAGTTGATTTGTTTGGCACTTAAGGTGTATGCAGGAATTTAGAGGAAAATGAGGTTGAAGAGAGAAGTGACATGGTCCATGTGTCCTGTGCCGTGCTAAGTATTTCATAAGTTTCTAGAAGGTTTTTAAGGTTTGAAGCAATAGCACATAATCAGAGTTGTATTTTTTTCTTCCAAATTTGAATATCTTTACTTTTATATATCTACTCACTGGATAAAGACAGTTTGGGTAGTATGCACACCTTTATCTAATTGGCAATTAAAACAACAACAAGACACACCTGACTCCAGTGGAATTTGTTGTTTTATGTTTATATGTCAGCCCTGATTATACTTAAGGCTTTCTGTTTGGGAAATATTAATTTCAAATTCAAAAAATCATAATGCTGTGAAACTGGAAAAAAAACTGATCTTGGAGATCAGTTAATACAGTTCTCTAATTTTACAGATGAGAAATTGAGGTTCATAGAAGATAAATGGCTCCTTGAAAACCACCCCAGTACCAGCTAAGACTAGAACTCTCATTTCCAAAGCTTCCTGCTTTTTCTCCTGACCAATCATGCCTATATGTTTGGGTTCTAGTACCATGCTGTTTTTGTTACTATAGCTCTGTAGTATAATTTGAAGTCATGTATTATGATGCCTCCTGCTTCACTTCTCTCACCACGAATTGCTTTGGCTATTTCAGGCCTCTTATTTTTCCAAATGAATTTCATGACTGCTTTTTCTGTTTCTATGAAGAAGGTCATTGAATCTGTGTAGCACTTTTGGTAGTATGGCCATTTTGACTGTTTCTGCCTACCCAAGAACATGGGAGGTCTTTCCATCTTTTAAGGTCTTCTTCAATCAATTTCTTTCTTTAGTGTTCGATAGTTTTCATTGTAGAGGTCCTTCACCTATTTTGTTAGGTTGATTTCCAAGTATTCTTTTGTTTGAGGCTATTGTGAATAGGATAGTTTTCCTAATTTCTTTTCTTTATTTCTTTTTTGTTTTTAAGGAAGGATGACAAGCAGAGCTGTATTTTGAATCTATCCTTTCAGCTGCCAGTACTGGGTGGGAAGTTGGAAGTGAAGGGCTTCACAAGGAAACTCCCATGAGAGGACTGGTGTGGGAGGCCATCCTCGAAAGTGATTTGAGTTACCTCCCTGGCTGGGTAAGAAGGCTCTAACACAGTTGTGTCTAAGCGCCTCTCACCCAGCCAAGGAGGTAACTCAAATCACATTCGAGGATGGCCTCCCACAGACTGGAGATCACTAAACCCCTATTAAGAGAGTTGAACTCTGAAACTTCCAACATGGACTTTTCATCTTTTCCTTATATATGTGATAAAAGTTATAACCATCTTTTGATGTTGTTTTTGGTTCTGGGAATTGAACCCAGGGACACTACCATTTTTTTATTTTGAGACAGGGTTTTGCTAAGTTGCTAAGGTTGGCCTCAAGCTTGTGATCCTCCTACCTTAACCTCCTGAGTCTTTGGTGTTATAGGCATACAGTATCACACTTGGCTAGTTGTTACCATCTTTTAAAATGTTCTTTAGAACATGAAATCTTTTAAGTTATCCTTCCTATAACATGACTTCTGTGATCAGTTATATTATACTAAAATGTAGTGTTTTTATTCTTTTAGAGAGGAAGAACTTGGAGAAGCTACACAAGTTTACTGGAAAACTGACAATAATGCTATTTATCAAGTTGATGGGAGTAAATCCTTCAATTTCGGTAAGCTTGTTATAGCATCAAAAGTTAGCCTGGGCTGGGGTTGTGGCTCAGTGGCAGAGCTCTTGCCTCGCACATGTGAGGCACTGGGTTCGATCCTCAGCATCATATAAAAATAAATAAACAAAATGAAGATATTTTGTCCATCTATAACTAAAAAAAAAGTTAGCCTGTTAAGCCTGTTATCCTTTTACTATTAAGAGTACTAAAGGTATATCAGTAAAGATTTGTAAACTGCTTCACTGGAACCAAAAAAAATTATTTATCCATCATGGATGAAAAGAAAGATAATAATAAATTGATGTTGAAAGCACAGTTATAATTTTAGTACCTTATAGCTGAAACTAATGTTTTTCTCCTTTCGTTTATTTATTTATAGCATAAAACTCCATAAACCAAAGTATATTGTACAGTATCAAGTCATCATTAAGATCTTTCAATTTAGTATACTCTTTTTACAATTATTTTCAAACTCTTAATGAAGAAGTTTCTTCTTTATCTGCTAAAATATATCAGGGACTCATCTCTGCTTTTGTGGAGCTTATCTAAAGGCATTAAATTCATGATGAGATAAGCTTTGTGGGAATTTTTAGTGGAGGATCTAATTTAGTCCAATAATCCAAAAAAGGTTCTGCTACAATGAAACACGAAGGCTAGCTATGCCAAAAGGACTTTGAGGCCTTAAAGGTAACTAAATTGATTTCTTCATTGACTGAACATATATAATGTCCCAGCCATTGTTCTAAGCAGTTCATGTTAATATACTTGTTTAATCTTCCTGACAAATCTATGCAGTAGGTACTGTTGCTTTCCCATTTTAATGAGGGACCAAAATAGAGGGCTAGAGTCACACAATCAGCAAGTGGAAGAATTGGTCTCCAATCTGTTCTATTCATGCTAACAGAACTGCTTCCAAATCTAGACAAAAACAGGTCTGCTCAATAATCTTAAGAATGAATAAAAGTGTTGGTGTTAAACCACAAAACCAATAAGTAATGTTTTACAGCAGAGAAATATAGAAGATGAAATGATTGCTTGTAAATGATTGTTGGTATTAGCATAATTTTTTTAAAAAAAATTTTGTAGTTATAGATAGACAACATGCCTTTATTTTATTTGTTTATTTTTATGTTGTGCTGAGGATTGAACCCAGTGCCTCACACATGCTAGGCAAGTACTCTACCTTGAGATAGGAAAGTTCCATGAGATAGGAAAAAAAGCATAGCACAGGGTTCACTTTTATCCCTGGGTTACTACAATTTTACTACTGCTTTCTTTCAAATATCCACAACCACAGCCCCTTAGCATACTTTTTTAGAAGGTAAAAACAGTCTGTGCCAGGCATTGTAAATCCAAATTAAGGGATACCCAAGCATTCAGACTCCTGTACTATAGGGTTTTAGTGGCTACGCATGGTCATCAAAGATTTGGACTCCTCCATCTGCCTGAGGCATTAAAATTTGAGTCATCTACCAGTTCTCCTCATTCTGAAATCATGTCACCTGAGCAGCCTTCAGTTGGCACTTGGATTTCTCATACACTTCTGCCTGCAGGGCAGATATGTGGTCATGATAGAACAGCATGATCACTGAATTTCTCACGGCAAATCAGTATGTTTCCCTCCCAATTTACACATCTATTTCCTGTGAGCCACCATTAAAACCAAGATCCATTTTTGTGTGTCCTAGCAAAAGCAAAGAAATCAAACCTTAGGAGGGCAAACTCATCAGTGCAAAAGCTACCCTTAATTCTAAGCACAGTAATGGTTCATATCTCCTAGGTATTAACCATATACTTACAATAATTCAATAATGATGATAATATGTGCCCATTTTACACATTGGGGCACAGAGACAGTAACCCCCTTGGTCAGTGTCACACAGCTTAGATTCCAGAGCTCCATATGCACCACTATGCCTTACTGCCATTTGAAAACACAAAGGTTAGGTGACTTGTTTTTTCTGTATGGGGACCAACACATTATCTTTGTGTATTTTCAGAAGACAAAAAGGTTGAAGAAAATACTTTCTTAAATATCTTGTCATCCTAGTCCCTGACAATTTTTTTCTTTGAGTGATTACTAATTCAGAGTGAGAACACAGTTGATTTGTTTGACATCTATGTTTTTCTTGTTTTCCTAGATCGCGTCTTTCATAGTAGTGAAACTACTAAGAATGTCTATGAGGAAATAGCAGTACCTATCATTGATTCTGCTATACAAGGCTACAATGGTTTGTATTCCTTTGATGCTGTAGAAACATTTTAGTCTTGAGCATCTACTCAACAAGCATTGACAGTTTCACTCACTGTAGATTTATTTTTAATCCTTGCATGTGTGTATTTTGTTTTGTAGGCACTATATTTGCCTATGGGCAGACTGCTTCAGGAAAAACACATACTATGATGGGTTCAGAAGATTGTTTGGGAGTTATACCCAGGGCAATTCATGACATTTTCCAAAAAATTAAGAAGGTAATAACTTAGCTAACTTCCTAGTAAAAATAGTAATAATTGGATAGCAGTCTTAGAGTTTTCTTTTATAATGATAAAAGGAGGCAAATTTACATTTATCTCTTGAGTCCCATGAGATAGGAAAAAAGGCATAACACAAGGTTCACTTTTATCCCCACAGGTTACTGCATAAAAAGTAGATGTTGGTTAAAAAAAGAGAGAGAGAGAGAAGCAGAAGTTCAGAATGCACAACTAGTTACAAGTTGGGTTTGAGTTAGTGTTTTCATTAAAATAAGAGCATCTCTTATTAGGGTTTTACTTTGAGTCAGGAGAGTTGGATTGGGTGGTCTCCTCTTATTCATGATGGCATACTTTTCATTATTTCTAAAACAATGCTTTTGTATTTTTATGTTTGTTATGAACACAGAACCATGGGTTTTATTTATTTTACAAAGATTATTACCTTCCTTACCTCTTTAATAATAATGGGTCCCCGTTCAGTATTAGATTTTCATAAACGGATGCTTTCTGATGCTTTCACACATTTTTTTTCCTCCTAGTTTCCTGAGAGAGAATTTCTCTTACGGGTGTCTTACATGGAGATATACAATGAAATCATCACAGATTTACTCTGTAACACTCAAAAAATGAAACCTTTAATAATTCGGGAAGACATCAATGTGAGTATTCGAGTTAGCTGGCTTTAAAACATTCACTTATTGGAATTGCTCTGCATATTTTTTAAAAGTATTTCCATTTTTTTTGGTTTTCTTTTTCTTTCTATGGTTTTTTTGTTTGTTTGTTTGTTGTTTTCAAGTGTTTATAGAGAGATCCATTTTTTCAGCAATCTGTGTAGTTTTAAAGTACTGATAGATTAAGTGCCTAAAAATAGCAAGATGGTAGGCTTTGATGTACACAGTGAATTGTGATTATTCATAGAGTTGTTTGCTATTTTTTTAAAGAATAATCAATCCATTTTTTTAACTTCCTCAAGTTCTGAAATAGTTTATACCATCTTTTTGAAAAGCAAACTTATAAATGACTTTTTTTCTAATCTTTCCATAATTACTGGTTTCAGAGGAATGTGTATGTTGCTGATCTCACAGAAGAAGTAGTCTATACCTCAGAAATGGCTTTGCAGTGGATCACAAAAGGAGAAAGTAAGACTGCTGTATTTCTTTAAAATGCTTACAAAAACTTCAATAATCCCATTTTTAATTGTTAAGCTAAAATAAAATAGCCTTCAAGTCGCACTTAGGCTAAAATAAAATCAGTGTTTTTCTTAAACTTTAACATGTATGTAGCTGAAATATAACTCATTTTTACAGAGAACAGACATTATGGAATAACAAAAATGAATCAAAGAAGTAGTCGTTCTCACACTATTTTCAGGATGGTATGTAATTATTTCCCCCAATATTTATCTTTCAAAGTAAGAATACACTAATTTTCTACAAGTTGCCTTTTCTGTCTAGATTTTGGAAAGCAGAGAGAAAGGTGAACCTTCAAATTGTGAAGGATCTATCAAGGTGTCCCATTTGGTGAGTACTAATGAATCATAATAATGTACCATAGGAGCCAAAACAAAATGTCATTAACTGTTGGATGTTTGGTTTTATGAGAACTGTTAACTAAATAGGAAAATGTATGTATAAATTGGCAGTTTAACTAGTCTTGTCAGAAATATCAGATTACTAGCAGAAATGTTGTAGGAAGAATTTAGAGAATATTTCTTTCTATTATATCATGGCTACCATCTCCTAAAATTTAGATGTAAGGCTTACAGGAGTTGAAGTTTTTTCTTACCACCAAAGAAGTAAGATTGTTTTTTATGCATATCTAAGAGTTTAAGTAATCTTGGAATTTGGAGATTTTTTTTTCTTTAATTAAAACTCAGACTTGTGTGATCAACAACAACAAAAAACTAGATAGAATGGGTAAAACAAATTACATTATTCAGGTCTTTTTTATTATTTTTTTAGAAACAATAAAAATATATGTTTTATATTATAAATGGTGGTTTGTGTTTGTTTGTTTTGGGGTTTTTTGCTTAGTGCTGCAGATCCAACCCAGGACATTGTGTATGCTAGGCAAATGCTCTACCACTGAGCTTCACACCCAGGCCATAAACAAGGTTGTAGACTATAAATCCCTTGAAGAGAAGAGTGATGTCATATTCATCTTTGTAGCCCCAACATATTGCATATTTATTGCAATAAATATTTACTGAACTTGAGCATTATGCAAACTTTCCCTTTTCTCCACATAAGTACATCATTACCTTCTTGCTACACTATACCATAGCTGTCTCTTGCTCCTTCCCTATCCTTTTTCATTATTGATCTGTTCTCCATCAAATTCTTTTTTCCTCTGTGTGTGTGTGTGTAATCGGTTGTTTTTAGTTATACATGACAATAGGATTCATTTTAACAATTATAAAAGCATGGAATATAATTTGTTCTAATTCAGTCTCTGGTGTTTCCCCTTTTTCTTCCCTCCTCCCTCTGCCTGTTTCCTTCCCTCTACTCCTTTTGCTATTTACTCATTGTTTTGTTGTTGTTGTTTTTTAATTAGTATCTTACGGATGTACGTGATGGTAAGATTTACTGTGATATATTCACTTATGTACATAGGAAAGTTATGTAATATTCATTCTACTGTCTTTCCCTAGCCCATCTCTCCTCCCTTCCCTCTTTCCCCTTTGTCTACTCCACTGATCTTCCTTCTATTCTTCTTTTTTTTTTTTAATCCCCTCCTTTGTTTTGGATTAGCTACCCCATATCAAAGACAGCATTCTACCTTTGGCTTTTGGGGACTTGCTTATTTCACTTGGCATGATAGTCTCCAGTTCAATTCATTTGCTGGCAAATGCCATAGTCATTCTTTTTTTTTTTTGGCTGAGTAATACTCTGTTGTTTATATAAGATCACATTTTCTTTATCTATTCATCTGTTGAAGGACATGTTGGTTGGCTCCATAGCTTGCCTATTGTGAATTGTGCTGCTATAAACATTGAGGTGGCTACATCACTGTAGTATGCCGATTTTAAATCCTTTGAATATATACTGAGGAGTGGGATAGCTTAGTTATATGGTTCCATTCCTAGTTTTTTTGGGGGAATGTCCATACTGCTTTCCAGAGTGGTTGCAGTAATTTGCAGTCCCACCAACATGTATGAGTATACCTTTTTCCCACATCCTCACCAGCATTTACTATTATTTGTATTCTTGATGATTGCAATTCTGACTGGAGTAAGAGAAAATCTCAGTACAGCTTTAATTTTCATTTCTAATTCTAGAGATGTTGAACATTTTTTCATATATTTGTTGACCCTTTGTATTTCGAGGATTATCTGTTTAGTTTCTTTTCCCATTTATCGATTGGGTTATTGGGGGAGTATCTTTGTTTTTTGGTTTGGTTTTGTTGTTGTTGGTGGTGGTGGTGGTATTTTTGGTGTTAGTTTTTTGTGTTCTTTGTATAGATATCAATGCCCTAACCTAAGTATAAGTGACAAAGATTTTTTTCCCATTCTGTAGGCTCTCTTTACACTCTTAATTGTTTCCTTTTCTGTGAAGAAGCTTTTTAATTTGATGCCATCCCACTTACTTATTTTTAATTTTACTTCTTCTTGTGCTTTTAGAGTCTTATTAAGGAAGTCAGTTCCTCAGCCAACGTGTTGAAATGTTGGACCTACATTTTCTTCTTTTTTTTTCCCTACATTTTCTTCTAACAGTTGCAGGGGTTCTGGTCTAACTCCTAGGTCTTTGATCCACTTTGAATGAAGTTTTGTGTGGGATGAGAGATAGGGGTTACGTTTCATTCTACTACATATGGATTTCCAGTTTTCCCAGCACAGTTTGTTAAAAAGGCTATCTTTGGTTTTGACACCTTTTTCTTCTATGAGATAACTGTGTTTATTAGGTATATGTTTGTGTCTTCTATTCCGTTGGTCTGCATGCCTGTTTTGGTGCCAATACCATGGTGTTTTTGTTACTGTAGCTCTGTAGTATAATTTGTAATGTGGTATTGTGATACCTCCTGCTTCACTTTTCTCACTAAGGATTGCTTTGCGAGGCCTAAATTCTTCAGCTTGATATGGGATGTGATTTAAGATTACCTTATTTGGTTAGAACAATGAATACTAACATACTTGTTTGGGCTGTTTTTAGTTTATTTTAAACAAAATTACTAGACTATAGGACTCAAGAACTTGTTACATGTTATTATTTGGTGTTCTGATAATAATTTAAAAGTAAAGACTTTGCCATATTAAAAAAAAAGACTACCTTATTTGATTTGAAAACTATAGAGAAAAAAATTAATCAACAGTATATTTATTTATTTTCAGATTTCATGAAAGCAAATTCTTACTATTCCATTCTAACTTTATTTTAGTGTAAAAAGTGTATCTCTTATTTTAGTAGACTTTAATGTTGTTTTAATATAACAACAACAAAAACAAACTAATCTCTTCCAATACCAGTGATTTTTTTTTTTTTCTTTTAAATACACTTGATGTATTCAGTGCTCTATTTGGTGATTATCCTCACCTTCCTCAATGCTCTGTTATCTGTGGTCCTTGGACATTATCTGGGACATCCCTTTGGCCTACCCACTTCCTGTAAGAATCTTCTTGGGAAGAAGTCTTCCTTGAAGAATCATCTTCTGGCTCTTTGGAGGTGACTCTTTCCTAATTGTCTCCTGGCCTTGTGGGGATGATAATATTTAGGTTCTCTCAGCTCTACTCCTCCATTCTCTTCTGTGTCTTCTTTTCTCCTGCCCTCTAACAAAAATTCAGGAGTGTTCTGTGGCTTTTCTTACTTCAGATTCTTATACTCAGATATTCTTTCACCATTTCTGTGTTGAAGATTGCTAAATATTTATTTTTATCTACAGTCTCTGAGATTGCTGGAATTATGCATGCTACTGTTATCTCAAACTGCAGTATATATAAAATTAATTTCTTACAACAGTAGTGACTATTCTGCTTTTTCCAGGAAAGCTTTGTCAATTTTAACTCTTTAATTCAATTAATCTTTGTTGGTATTTCTCTTTGTCCTGTTGTCTCATTTCTTATTTTGGTACATTCCTGTGGTATATTCATTTAAATCCTTGTTTCTCTTGAATTACTACATTGATCTCCTGAAACCTGGCCCTCATGACTCTGGACTTCCTTTCTTCAGTCTGTTATACAAATTTGAAATTTATCTAAGCACTGCTTTTGTTATGTCACTTCTTGGACAAGAAATGTACTTCCTCTGCTCCACATGAGTTCCTCTCCTAGATGGGGCCTCTTGGAAGCTTTGGATAGGTGTCTTTGGTTAGGAGTACTTGTTCCCACTGTCATGACTTCACTCATGCTGTTTCACTCCTTAACCACTTTGCCTTTGATTATGAATCTGGATCATCTGTAGTGGACACTATGTAAGGACCATTAGACTTCTGATTATTTTAGAGAAGAAAGTATCTGAGATAGAACTACAGAACTATAATTACTTGCCTACACCCTGGAAATCTTCACAGAGAAATAACTTAAAGCTCTTTCTTTTAATGTATTCTGAATATATAGAGAGAGTTTCTTATGCTCTGGGCACAGTGCTGGGTTCTGAGATTAAAAGAATAAAGGATACATTCCTCTGTTACTTAATATACAGATAATTTCTACTGCTGCCTCTCCAGACCAAGCTGCCATCATCTCACCTGGATTCTGCACTAGTCTCCTACCTTGGCTGCCTGCTACCGCTCCTGTCCCTCTCTAATCCATTCTCCACTCAAGGGCACAGTTGATGCTTCAGTTGAATCTGATTGTATTAGTACTCCCCCGTATAAAACCCTCTAGTGGCTTCCCATTGCATTTAGGAAACCTGGAATTCTTAGTCTTGCTTAAAAAACCCTGCATAATGTGATCATTCCTTCTCTTACCCTTTTTCCTGCTTAAGTTCACCAACTACACCACTCTGCCCTTTCTACATTTTTTAACACACCAAGGGCACTCTGGTTTGTGACCTGGTATGCTGGCTTACCTTCTGTCTAGACTATCATTTCCCATGATCTTTTCATAACTGCCTTTCTTAGTCTGATGACTGGCCTTCCCCTACCACCCCATCCAGAAGATGTGTTCTGTTCCTCCCTCTGCTCTCTTCCAGCTCTATTTGAATTATCCACTACATTTATCACAATATATTTCTTATATGTCTTTTTCTCTCTTCTTAGCAACCTCCTCTTTTGTAGAATACAAGCTCTGTGAGAGCAGAGACCTCATTTGTCTGGTTCTCTGCTATTTCCCCAGCAACTAATGCACTGCCTAGAACATGATAGATATTCACTTTTTTTTTCCCCACTATTATTTGCAAAATGAAAGAGGTCCATGCTTTTGAAGATGCTACAGGGTAGTCAAGGACTCAAATGACTAGCTCTACAGGAGTTACTCAACTATAAGAGTAAGTCATATCTAATAAAGTGTTCTGGGTACATAGTGGAAGTAGCGTTTCAAAAAAAATTCAAAGTGTGGGGTAGGAAGAGTAAAGTTGGCACAGCTACATTAAGAAGGTAACATTTGTCCTGGTTCTTGAATAAAGAGTAATAAGGGCAGATTAGAATGTTAGAACCTACTGCTGCCACAAGTGCTGGGTTGCAAAGAATCATGTTCACCTTGGTAAAGTTTTGACTATATAGGAAACAACCTACTGTGATCTGCAGCATGACAGAGTATATGTCATAAAGAAAGAAAAACGACACATAGAGACTACTTTGACTCAAGATGATATATTATCTCAAGAAGAAACACAAGAATTTAGATGGGACATTCAGATATGCCAAGTATTAAAAATGTTCTTTCAATAGTTTGGACTTTATTATTTCTAATTATCCCTCCTGAAGGTTTATTTTCATTTGTCCTACAGAATTTGGTGGATCTTGCAGGCAGTGAAAGAGCTGCTCAAACAGGAGCTGAAGGTAATGAGAACTAGTAAAGTAAATTAGTCTTAGTGCCTTCTTATTCTTTTATGGGATAAAAATGCTTCTAAGCATTTTTTAAAACTGATAATAGTAATTTTCTACTAAAAATCCTTAATACAAAAATCGGCATCTATATATAACTAATTATTTTCTTTGAACTATTGTAGCATCTATTAAAAAGCTAAAGTTATGTAATTAATAGGTTAGTATATCTGGGAAGCCCATGAGAATTCCACGAAAACTATTTAAATTGCTACAGTTAGTAAGGATATTAAGAAAGATAGCTGAGCCTAATGGCACATGCCCATAATCCCAGTAGCTCAGGAGACTGAAGCAGGAGGCTTAAAAAAAGTGGATGTGTAACCGATGTGATTCTGCAATCTGTATACGGGGTAAAAATGGGAGTTCATAACCCACTTGAATCAAATGTATGAAATATGATATGTCAAGAACTATGTAATGTTTTGAACAACTAATAAAATTTTTTTAAAAAGTTCAAAGCCAACCTCAGCAACTTAGCAAGGCTCTAAACTTAGCAAGACTCTGTCTCAAAAAAAAAAAAAAAAAAGGACTGGGGGCTTAGCTTGGCAGAAAGGACTCCTGGGTTCAATCTCTAGTACAGAAAAGAAAAAAAGGAAGGTAGTAGGAAGTATCTTTCCAGTACTAACATTCTGATTCTAGAATACATGTAAGTATATACAGATTCTTTCATTGCATCTTTGCCCTTTCAAAATTTATGTATACTAATCTCCATTAGAAAATGAGACGTGACCATAGTTAGCATTGAAAAGAAAAGGATGCTTTTCTACTATGTGAAAAATGATACTGCATATCATCCCTATGTATCTATCCTGGGAGAAGCTTAACATTACAGCTAAATTTTAACTCTATAGGATCTAGTCTCTCATGGCAAAACTGGCTATTTTTTCCAGTTCTCCTTATATGTGTAATAAAACAAATGAAAATCCAAAGAAAGGTAGTGTGGTACAAATTTAATATATAGAAATTAATAACTCTTACAAACAAAACCAAGTAGAATTTTATGTGGACAAAGGTTATTTACATTAATAATGTAAAAGATGTGGTACCTCTTTTACATAGGAAAACTTGATATCTCAACTAGGAAACTCAACAGATTGCACAAAATCAATGTAAAGAAATCTTTAAATCAGACCTGAATTATGGAGAACTTTGTGAAAATGAAAAAGCATACTTAGATGAGAAGATTTGAAATCACAAAGATGCCAAATTTCTCTGTTAATTTCTGGATTTAACACAATCCTAATAAAAACATCAAGAATACATTTTTGTGTTGTTTAAACTAGTATGGTTATTTTAAAGTGTGTATGGAATTTGTGACCTCCTGCCTCATCCTCCCAAAGTAGTCCCTCTGATTTTTAGTAATGTTTTTCCTACTGTTGATACCTATTCTGAATCACTTAATTGGTGGAAGGAATAGGAAGAGAATGCCTACCAAAATTATAATACGGTGGGCTCAGGTCCAAACCAAAACACACATCCTAGCATCTGATTCTTTGATGTCTAATTTCTCTTGTCATTTACTAATAAATAACTTAGTTACCTAGTATGGGGGGGAAGTTTTGATTTTTTTTTTTTTAATCATAAATTTAGGTGTACGACTCAAGGAAGGCTGTAATATAAATCGAAGCTTATTTATTTTGGGACAAGTAATCAAGAAACTTAGTGATGGACAAATTGGGTAAGTTTATCCCATTACACACCCACACTTACTCAGGCTATTGTAAGTATTTTTTATACAACTGCAGCACAGCTTTTCATTTCTCTGGTTATACATGATGTAGCTAGTGTCACACCATATGTGCAGTCATTACATGTACCTAGGGTAATAATGTCCATCTCATTTCACTATCTTTCCTGCCCCCCATGCCCCTTCTCTCCCCTCCCTTCCCTTTGCCCAATTAAAGTTCCTCTGTTTTGCCCATGCCCCCTCCCCCATTATAGATCAGTATCCACTTATCAGAGAGAACATCTGCCTTTGGTTTTGGGGGATTGACTCACTTTGCTTAGCATGATATTCTCCAGCTCCATTTATTTACCTGCAAATGCCATAATTTTATTCTCTTTTAATGCTGAGTAATATTCCATTGTATGTATATATACCACAGTTTCTTTATTCATTCATCTATTGAAGGGCATCTAGGTTGGTTCCACAGTTTAGCTTTTGTGAATTGAGCTGCTACAAACATTGATACGGCTGTGTTGCTGCATTTCTGTAGTATACTGATTTTAATAAAGAATTAATTTTTAAAACTAAATGTTCTGTATTAAAAGACAACCACTTTTATAATAAAAAATTTCTCAATCTTTTTCTTCCCAAACTCATTTCTTGTTAAGTGGTTTCATAAATTATCGAGATAGCAAATTAACACGAATTCTTCAGAATTCTTTGGGAGGAAATGCAAAAACACGTATTATCTGCACAATTACTCCAGTATCTTTTGATGAAACTCTTACTACTCTTCAGGTGAGTTTGATTTTTTTATCTTAATATGGGGAAAGGTCAACTTTAAGAAGAAAAAATTACCTACTAAAATTTGGTATACTTTTTAAAATTGACATAACACACTTGTTACGATAATATTAATGTGTTATCCTCTAAATACCATTCCTTAATTTAACTTTCAAGACTTCAATCTTTTGTATTCCACTTCCATAATTTTAGCCATATCCAATGTTATTTTGACTGATATTGACTTGATATTTTCTTCAAATAACTTACTTTTTGTACTTAATTTGTGATAAAAGCAAATTTTATCAATCCTATGAATGAAAAACTAAGATTACTCACCACAAGTAGAAAGTAACCAAAACTATATATATACACACACACACACACACACACACGTATATATATGTATACACACACACACACACACACACGTATATGTATGTATTTGCGTATGTATATGTGTATGTGTGTATAGGACAATAAGTCTTGAATTCTGTCTGTTGCCCACCTTGGTTTTGTGCTAAAGGCCAACATTTTCTGTTAAAAATGAAGGAAAGGAAAATGAAAAACATCAATGGAATAGCTTTCTCAATGAAGAATTCAGTATTATTTACTGGTCACCTTCATGTTCCCACTTAAAGTTACTTCTAGTACTCATACTCAAGCCATTGCTTTAAATAGCTATTGAGCACTGGATTAAGGTCCTGCCAGTAGAACAAAGAAAAAACATTCCTGACTTTACAGAATTTACAGAGCAGATTAAGATTTGTCTTCTGACATGATTGCCTTGGATTAGTATTTAAGTGGCTAATAGAGTTTAAAGAAAGGGGAGATAGTTTTGGCTCGAAGAGGAGCTTCAAAGTATAGGAAGCATTTGGGAGGGGTGGATGGTTTTGTAGGTTCTCTATTGCATCTGTCTTCAAGATGTTTTTCTAACTCTTCTGAAACTATTGGCCAGAGTAAGTCACAGAGCATGGTTAAAAGAACAATATAGAATGCTCCCTGTATTCAAAAATATTAAGCCAACTGGGAAAACTTTGTTTTGGTTTGTCTTCCAAGAAACTTGATTATAGGAAACCTAAATGTTGTTATGACTTCTTTTAGTATTAATATTTTACTTCATTTTTTGCCAGTTTGCCAGCACTGCTAAATACATGAAGAATACTCCTTATGTTAATGAGGTATCAAGTGATGAAGCTCTCCTAAAGAGATATAGAAAGGAAATAGTGGATCTTAAAAAACAGTTAGAGGAGGTATGTATAAATCATTTATTTCAGTAAATAGGGACCAATTTAGAATAATGGAGATCTGCCCCCCAAAATTCTAAATTCATGAATATCTGAGCTGCTACAGCTTAATTTTAAAGTAAATAGTTTTTAACTAAGAAGAAATCAACTCATAAAAATTTAACTTTGTTTACTATAAATTGAAAGATTTGGTTTATTGAAATTATTTTGAATTTTGTTTTTCATTTCCAAAGTTCAAGACTTAAGACTTTTTTTCAAATAAGCCAAGTAGAAATACTTTCTTAAAATGTTTTACAAGTACGTATTAATTCAGGTTGATAAGAAAGACCATGTATAGTTACTTAAAACTACCTTCTGTATTTTCACATTCTGCTGAATTCCTCTTCTAACCCTTAAGTAGTAGCCTAATAATATAGTATAATCAACCTATCATTGTAACTGGTTTATTTTAATCTTGGTCTCATAATTTGTAAGTCTTTAATTTTAGTGATCTCTGAAAAAATTGCCTAAGATATCAAACAATAGTCTTATAAGATGAAAGAGAAAATGTCTGTGTTTGCTATTGGTATACAGATTTCAGCTTCTTTGACTTTTCTGCCTGTTATTTAGATATTCGTAGCAATTAATAGAACTGTTTTAACAGTATTCTTATCTTTTACAGAGTATATAGAATAGAGACCTGAGAAGAAATGTGTAATTTGCTATATTACAAGTTTGAGAAATTATTGATTATAGTAACTGCACATTAGAGTTCTGCACTTAGGGTATATTTTATTTCAATACAATTAAATTCTCTGAGATCATATGCATATTTCATATTCTTTTTTTAAGCTACTTTCAAATTTTTAAAATCTAGCTACATCTATTATTAACATAATCCATTATTACATTCTGTAGGTCAGTATAAAGACTCGGGCCCAGGAAATGGAAAAAGACCAATTGGCCCAACTTTTGGATGAAAAAGATTTACTTCAAAAAGTACAGGATGAAAAAATTCAAAACTTAACACGAATGCTGGTGACTTCTTCTTCTCTTACAATGCAACAGGAATTAAAGGTAAAAAAATAAAAGATAACAGCTTAAATATGGTAGAAAATAGGCACTTTTATATATTTATGATACAGTTAGGCACTTCTTATTCTTTTATACAATATATTCAAGAAACCCAGATATTTTATGTGTTTGCTTATACATCAACACTGCCTAAGAAGTTCATTAAAAATACCCTATCCCTAATTTCCACATATAGCGCTTCTTATTCAAGAAGTCTAATATATAGTTAAAGAATCTATTTTGTAATATGCAGATGATTAGGAACCACTGGTCACTAGGGGGATGTTTTTGTTTAAAGAAATAGAATTATTAACCTTAGAAACATTGATCTAGAATATAAACCAATGTGGTGATCAAGATTCTAGCTTGTTTGTGTTTTTTGTTGACATTTTAGGGTATAATATTGTGAACAGAAGGAAGAACCCTGAATCTGGACTGGCTGAATTTGAATCCCAGATCCATCAATTCCTGACTCTTGACATTGGGCAATTTCTTGAATCCCCTTCACTGTAATTTCTTTAGTTGTGAAATAGCTTGATACATACCTCATGGGGTGTTGTGAGAATTAAGTAAAATAATACATAGAATGTGCCTAATACAATCCTTTCTACACAGCAAATTTAGTAAATATAAGCTATTAATAAATTATTGTTAATAGGCACTATGTACAAGTCACCATACTAAATATAGAGGGGACATTCAAGAACTATTGGTTGACTGAGTGTGAATAAAAAGTGGCCCAATGGCACAGGGAAGAGACCCATATATGCAAAAGCCTGGAGCTATGAAAATACATGATGCATTCTTTGGACTTAAAATGTTCTAGTGGTCAGTCCATGTTAAACCATCATGTGATATTTGAATGTGACGTTATGTTAAGGAGATAATAAGAGACTGTGTGTGATGTCAGAATTGCAGAAAAAGCATGACTGCTATGCATATCAGAATAGTTGGGCCTCTATAAGAAATGTGGCTCTGGAGAGGGAGCAAATTGGAGAGCTGTTTATGGGGTAAACTTAGTGATTGATTGGATGTCAGGAGCAGAGAAACAGAGAAAGAGGTATCCAGAGTGATGTGAAAGTCTTGCTTAACCTCCTGGGAAGCTAGTAGCCGAATTTGTTAAGCAACAATAAAAAATAGTAGAAGTGCTTAGAATATCTTTTGAGATGTCAGGCAGGTGAAAATGCAAATATATGGAAACAGTGTGGAAGATGGGCAGTGTAATCAGTTTGGGCACATGCTACTACAGATTTAAATTAAAATTATGGGAAGAGATGAGTTGGTTCTTTGAGCAAGTTGAGAATGAAAAGCTTAGAATGACAAGGAAAAAACCCCAAGAAACATTTTAGGTAAAGGTAGAAAAAGAAGGCTCCATAAAGGGGCCCAGGTTCAGCTCTAGGGTGAAGAAGGATGAATACAGTAGCTGGAAAGAGAATATTTCAGGGAAGTTGTGATCAGTGGTGTCATGTTTTGCCAAGAAGTTAAGTAAGGTTAAAATAGACAAAAACTATTTGCATTGAGGAACAAGGAGCACATTTGCAAAAACAAATTGAGTTATATGGTGAGGATGAAAGCTGCCTAACAGTGAGTTGAGATAGACCAAAGGGATGGACTCTTGAATATAATAGAAGGTGCTAGCCCTGGATAGGAGACCAATTTATTAGATTTCAACAAACACAAGGAAAAGGATAGATATCAGTGCAAGTTGTACTTTTGTAAGTTTAGTTTTATATTTTCTTTGTGAAACAGGTTCAGTTTTTCTGGTGTGATGGCAGTTGTAGATAGAGTCACAAGTTTACAGATATACCAAGCATTCAAAATAATCTGGCCCTTATTGAGAATGGAAAAGAAACCTGACAAGAGAGAGAAAAGCCCTCCAGGCAGCATAAAGGATCTGATTCATGTCTGTCTGTGTGACTCAGCGGTGCTAAAGAGGCTAATCAGGCTCAGAAGGCAGTATAATTCATCTGAACGTACGTTGTGTGGAATAGATGTGAAGGACAGAGATTTTTGAGGATATTAATCTCCAATGTCAAACATAATTGAAGTGATGACCTATGGACTCAAAGATGATGATATGAGAATCAAAGAGGGAGCTGTCAGGAAGACAGTGATATAACAAGGACAAGGAAAAAGTCCCTATTAAGCTAACCAGTCAAAATGGGATTGAATAAATGAGGTAGAAGGATAGCAACTATGGCGAGAGTGGCAGATCTAGGCTTATGAGTTCAGATAATGACAAGATTCAAGTGTGGCTTAGGGAGCCAATGGAATTAAGCTGAGGGTCATTGGAAATGAGGCTTTATATATTACTTGGCTTTTGCAATGTGGGCTATGGAAAAAGTTACCCATTTTAAGTAGAAGGGTAGTATACAGTGAGACATAGAAGTAACCAGTGTATCCTGGGGAAGAGAGCTACTCTTCCGAGGCTACATAGTGCAGTGGTTCCCTAGATAGGCTCTAAAGTTACAGATATGGGCTCAGCTACCAATTGATTGTACAGCGTTACAACTTCCCCAAATTTGGGGGTGACTATAAAAAGGATGCAGTAAAAGATCCACTCATAGGATCATTGAGAGAATTGAATGTGATGAGATGGTACTTATACCCAGGAAGGGGCAGGAAAGAATGTTGGCTGTGAAACCTGGAAAATATACACTTACGAGGCAGGCAGAGCAAAAGATATAAAATCAGCACACTACAGCAGCACAGCCACCTCGATGTTTTTAGCAGCACAATTCACAGTAGCCAAATTGTAGAATCAACCCAGATGCCCATCAATAAATGAATGGATTAAGAAATATATGCAAACACACACACATGTATATACTCACAGTGGAGTTCTACTTAGCCATAAAAAAGAATGAAATTATGGCATTTGCCAGTAAATGGATAGAAATGGAGAATATCATGCTAAGTGAAGTAAATCAAACTCAGAAACTCTAAGGTTAAATGTTTTCTCTTACATGCAAAAGCTAGAGTAAAATAAAGGAAAGGGTGGAGGGAAACATAGGATAACAAAGATAAAGGGAAGATCAGTAATAAAAAAGGAGATCAAGAGACAGAGTGGAAGGATGGGTAAGGAAAGGCAGTGCAGAATGAATTCTTTAAAAATCATATTATGTGCATATATAAATATACAACAGGGAACTTCACCTTTATGCATAGGTAGAAATAACCAATCAAATACAAATAAATACATGAGCAAAAGGAAATCTAGTAGGGGAAAGAGAATAGGAGAGGGGAGGGAGGATCTGGGGGAGAAAAGGGGAGAGTCATAACATGAAATTGAGTTCCATGAATGTATGAGTTTGTCAGGATGAAAACAGCTACTATGTTTAACTATAAAAAGAGGCAGGCAGAGGAAGAGAATGCAGAAGACAGTGGTAAGGACTACAGGGTGGGTAGCATAAGAAACCGGAGATGGAGGTCCCTGAAGGATAGAGAAAGAGGACAAAGTAAGAGCAAAGACAAAAGGTTAGCTTGAGGTAAGTAACCAGTCAAGAGGTTTTTAAAAAAAAAAAAAAAAGTAAAAGCAAACAGGCTTGAGCATTTGTGAAGTTGAGAGAAGAAAGCCAGTGGAAATGACAAATGCCCAAATAACAGAAGGAGTGTGATCCCAAAGAAAAAGAATGTAGAAGTCAGCAGCAGTTTTATTCATTTTGTAATGGATTGAAACACTGATTTGAAAATTTTGAGTATATTTTCTTATCTTAGAATGTCCTCAGACAAATAAAATATTAAACTAATAATTCTAAATAAAATAATTCTAAATATTTAAATATTAAACTAAAAATTCTACCAAATCAATAATTTTTAAAAATAAGAGCTAGTTCCCTTGTTTTATAATGTCTGAACATAGATCTGTATAAAGTAATTTTGATTTTTTTTTTCTTTAGGCTAAAAAAAAACGAAGAGTTACTTGGTGCTTTGGCAAAATTAACAAAATGAAGGACTCAAACTATGTAAATGAATTTAATATGCCAGCAAATGTAACAACAAGAAGACACAAGACTGATGGCGCTGTGTTAGGAGAAATTGATGAATGTGAGTGCCTGTTTAAATAGAACTACATTTATAACTCTGTGTGATAAACACATTGAAGTAAAAATGTATGTATTTTAGATATGATTGCAATGGAAATTATTATAAGAATTTGTGATTTTGAAAAAGTAAACATTCATGAAACTCTTCTAAAATTCTTAAGAATAATGCACTGTAGTTGAATCATGAGTCAGGTTGTTTTGTTTTTTTCTTCTAATTGCTCAATTAAATTTGTACATTATTCATAACATCTGCCTTAAACTTGCCAATTTTCGAAGGGCAGCACTTACTTAGGAATCTTTCAAAATTATATCTCCAGTAATATAATCTATTTTTTAGGGGCATTTATAAATCTACTTACAGTGATCAGATCTCATATTTAGAATCTGTCTTTTTTACCTGTATTGTATTAAAGATCCTACATTTTGTCACCAATTCTAACAAGCTATTTTAATTCACAAAACAATATAAATATCACATCTGTTTTTAATGTTATCTTGGCATTCATACTCTAAGGACATATTAGCTAATATGAGCTTATTACCTTTGGTCAGTGTTTTTGTTGTTGTTGTTTGTAATCTTTAATTTGACTATTAGGGAATGTTATGTATAAGTTCATAGAAAAATTTTTCCTCTTCCCCAAATTTTAGCTCTCTATTTAGAGTCTGATGTCTTCAGTAATACTCTTGATTCATTAACTGAGATAGAATGGAATTCAGCAACAAAGCTACTAAGCCAGGTAACCTAATGTATTTTACAGAATATGATCTTTTTACTCTTTTTAAATTTGTTTGTTATTGGACTTTGTTGTTGTAGCACATTATCAGTTCTGACTTAATACCAGAGTTAGTTTAGGCTCTAACAAAGATTTCCCTCATTTTTATATTTTGGTTGATAATGATGAGACATCTAGGGGAAGTCTCTTTATAAAATTAAAAAATTTTATAAAGCTGGTACGTGCTCAGAGGTAGACATTGCTTCTAGCTCTTTACCAGCAAATCTTAGTATCTATGATGTTTTTAGAATTTCTGTTTTGATTTGGAAAACTGCATGGGGGTAAGACTAACTAGAAGTTCACTGGCTTAGGCAAAGGGAAATGAAGGGGGGGGGGTGGACAGGAATAGGAAAGACAGTGGAATGAATCAGACATAACTTTCCTAAGAACATATACAAATACGACACAGGGAATCTCCACATCATGTACAACCACAAGACTGGGATCTTAATTAGAATAAGACATATTTCATGTTTGTCTAAATATGTCAAAATATACTGATATGAATAAATAAAAAGAATAACTTTTTTAAAAAATTTGAAGTGTCAAAATTCTCAGGCATTCAATAAAACAATACAACAGAGTGGGATAGTTTTGCTAGATAATACAGAAAAATAAAAGTACAAGTTTTTCCTCCTTATCCATTGGATGGTTCCAGTACCTCCACTAATACCAAAGCCCATAGATGCTGAAATCTGTTAGAGGAAAAGGCCTTAATAATTTCATATAACCTATGCCTATCTTCCCATATACTTTAAAATCATCTCTATATTACTTGTAATACCTAATACAGTATAAACGCTGTGTAAGCAGTTGTTATGCTGTATTTAGGGAATAATGATAAGGAAAGAAGTCTACATTTTAAGTATTGAGACAACCATTGTAGGCCTTACTACATTTTCAGTCTGAGGCTAATTGAATCTTTGAATGAGGAATTCATAGTTACAGAAGGCCAATCCTGTATAGTTTTATTAAAACTAAGCAGTAAAGAATACTGTAGTGAATAAGTCAATAAGTTTAAATTCCAAGCTACTTTCTAGATTGTCCATGTTCAAAGACATATAGTTGTATAATGTATTTATTAAAATTTCATTTTAATTTTGGAATACAATTATGGTGCCAATAATTATTGTTATCATTAGTTTATGTCTATAAAGTATTATAGGCAAAGTGCCTTTGTGTCCTTAAGACTTAACCTAGGAGTTAGTTTTTAAAGGAAAGGAAAAAAAAAAATGCCTTAGTTTTTTGTTGATACTTTTATCTCTTTCTCATAATAGTATGGAAAGGAAAAATATGCTTCTTTAAGTATGGTAAAACATAGCCACCATTAGAGATTTAGAAGTCATTAGTAAGATCTCTATTTCTGGTTCCTGAATTCAGAGTCATCTGAGAAATAGAAGTCAGACTAATTAGTAGTTAAATAATGAGCTTTATTGTGGTGAAATGGGTTTCCTAACAATTACTCTGCCTTCGCAGTTGGCCTTTCCTTATCAGGTATAGGCAGACTTATGATTTATTTACATGATTTTTGTTTATTCCTTTTTAAATAGAGTAAGTTACTCTGAATTAGATAGTTTACTAAAATATAGGCCATCATAAAGACATGAAGAAGAGAATGGCCTAAACCATCAAATGACTCAAAGTCAAATTATATTCAGCTAATCCAAATTTTAATTGAGGAAGTAAAGAATATGTAATCTGAACTCCATCTGAGTAGAATTGTTTGTTTGTTTGTTTATATTAGGAAAACTTAGAAAGTGAATTGAACTCACTCCGTGCTAAGTATGATAATTTGGTATTAGACTGTGAACAACTGAGAAGAGAAAATGAAGAACTGGGATTGAAATTAAAAGAGAAAAATGATTTGGATGAATTTGAGGCTCTAGAAAGAAAAGCTGAGAAAGATCAAGAGGTAAGATAGAGAAATATGAAACTTTAAAAGAACTATCATTTCCTTAAGGATATTTCTTTCTAATACTGAGATATTATGGATCAGCTGTTTTACACACACACACACACACAATTTAGAGAACTTAAGAAATGTTTAGGGGCTGGGGATATAGTTCAGTTGGTAGAGTGCTTGCCTTGCATGCACAAGGCCCTGGGTTAAATCCCCAGCACCACAAAAAGAAAAAGAAAAAGAAATATTTAATTTACAATGTTATAAAAATAATTATATTATATTTAGTTCCATCCATATTATTCCAGGCAGGGGAATCTGTCTCTTATGGAAATAAATATCATATAATTATTTTTAAATAATAGAATGAGATTTTAAAAACATCAGAGGGAACCTTTCATGGATCTATCTATTGATGGATTTGTCTTGAGGAAATAGTTTTCTTATAGTTGCTATATTACACACACACACACACACACACACACACATATATATATATATATATATTAGTGTGCTATAAGTTTTATCTATAGGAGATAGCATAGCTATTTCCTGAGACCAATAGGAATATTAAGATCTATTTGACTGTCTTATATATACATACTAAGTACTAATGAATTTTTCTTTAAAATGTATATTCCTAAATAGTTGGAACATTATTAGAATGTTCCATTAGTTCCATTAGTTGAAGAAGCTGATTAATGGAATTTTTGGAAACAAAACAGGCACTTAAATTTTCTAAGCATATGATATTATGCTATGTGTAAAGAGAACCTAGTCCAGAAATCATCAGACTCAAGGCACTTAAAAATTGTTCTAATGCTACCAAAGGTCTTATTATCAGTTCTTGTGTCTTCACAAGAGAAAATTTCAAGTAAGACATGAGGTGTAGTAAAAGTATAGCAGAGTTGTTTGTAACAGAAGGACGAAATGGGGGGAAACACCCTCTGGGGAGAGAGTGTGTCCTCTCAGAAATGAGAGAACTCTCTTCCTTGTGTCCCAGTTTTATTGGGGTTAAGGGACAGTTTATGGAGAATCCCGCCCAAGCCCCACTCCTAGCTCTTAATTGACAGTTGGATTATATCATGTTTCTAGATCTCTATTGCATATATCTTACTTCTGAATATATAAATGAAACCCACAGGAGTGAAAATTTATAATTCCAGTGAGATTAAATAGTGTGCCAAGGACCTAAAGGCAACTTTTAGTCATCTTGGCCCACACCAGACAATTTTATCTGGAACTTGATTTTACAGACCTTGAGACTATTGAGCTCACCAGCCTCCAGGCGAGGAATCTGTCTTTTATCAAAGGATCAATCTCAGAAATATATTTCTCAGCACTGAGAATAATATGCTATTTGTTTGGGGGCTATTATCTTACATCAGATCAGGGCCAGGATGACTTTGTATAAGTTGCTTCTCTAAAACATATTGAGTGGGGCTGGGGATGTGACTCAAGCAGTAGCGCGCTCGCCTGGCGTGCGTGCGGCTGGGGTTCGATCCTTGGCACCACATACAATTGTGTCCGCTGAAAACTAAAAAATAAATATTAAAATTCTCTCTCTCTCTCTCTCTCTTTAAAAAAAAAAAAACATATTGAGTGCTGGGAATGTGGCTCAATGGTAGAATGTTTGCCTAGGATGTGTAAGACCCTGGGTTCAAACCCCAGCACCACCACAAAAAGCAAAAACAAAAAAACATAGAGATAGGGGAGGGGGACTGTTATCACATTACCACATAGGCTCAGACTATAGAATTAGCCCCTCATTTTTCACGTTCCCACCACTCACGTCTACAACCTATCACTAAGATTTCAGGGACTCTTAATGCAGATTGTCTTTAAACTAGAGTATACAAACAGAATTTTTGAGTCCATCGTTTTTCTGAAACAAAAATACCTATCTGTTATCAGACTTGCAAAGCAACCTGTGAGCCTCCCAAAAGTAAGAGCCAGTACTTTGAAATTCTTGTAATGTGAATTAGGATGCAGCTGCTTATCAGATTTCTCTATGGGTAACCTGAAGGAACATCATCTTTAATATCATCATTTAGTTTTTACCCTCTTGCTTTGTAAAGAAAAAATGAATTCTGTGCCAAAGCTATCATTTTCATTTTATCAAGAAATTAAAGTTGTTCCTACATTTTGTAGGTTAAATACCTAATAAATAAATAAAGTCTATATTAAAGTTTTTCACAGGGTTTCATTCAGTTTGCTTTAAAATATACATATTAACAAAGTGTAAAATGTCATGAAAAAAAGAGTGGACTTCAGTCAATGAGATGGGTTTATTACAGGGGATGATATAAGGGAATAGTTAAGAGGATGGTGTCTAGAGCTCCAATTTTGAAGACTAAAATGTATATTTTGAATAAAATTTTGAACAAAGTCAAATTATGGCTCAGAACAGGTGATCATTTCTCTGATTTTCTTAAGGATTTTGTCAAAAAATCATCAAAGTCATGGATAATTTTCAGGTGGGAATGTAGTGATTATGGTTGCTTGCATATTAAACATTAGAGAGATGAATTTTAAAAGTCAAATATCATCAGTCTCATGGGACAAGAGAAAATGTGTCCATCTACCTATTTTAACTTGATTTATTTAATTTAATAATTTTTACAACTCAGAAATTTTTCAGAGGTTTAATATTTTACCTGTTCAATTACAGGTAAAATTTTCAATGTTTTCTTATATCACAATGGATTAACTGTTGATTGTGTCCTGTGTTTTGAACATGTTTGCTCTTTACACACTTTCTCTTTATGCTCTGCATCTTAATATGTCATTTGGAGATTACACTTTTGTCTTTACAAAATTAATCTTTTTACTTATGAGAAGCAAAACATAAGCTGAATTGTAATTTAAGATGAGAAGTACGAATTTTTTTTTTCTAAATGGTTATTTCCTAAATGATTTCTAAAGATTGATTATTTGCTTCTCCCTTATTGGTAAATGTGAGAAAGAACCAAATAAAAGTTAGAAATAGGCAGGGAAGAAAAGATAAAAGATGGAGCTATTGTTTAAAGCAAAACCAATACAAATTTCTAAGGCTGTGTTGTACAGTAGGATAGCTATTAACCATATGTGACAATCGAGCATTTAAAATTGGGCCAGTCTGGGGCTGGGTTGTGTCTCAGGTGGAGCGCTCGCGTACCATGTGTGAGACACTGAGTTCGATCCTCAGTACTACATAAAAATAAAGATATTGTGTCCAACTATAACTAAAAAGTAAATTAATTAATTAATAAAAATTGTGTCAGTCTGAATTAATTTAAGAATAACAAATAGAAGGTAAAATAATATTTTTATATTCATTACATGGAGAAATAATTTTTGACATGTTAAGTGAAATATTAACGTTAATTCTACCTGTTTCTTTTTGTGTTTTTTTTTAATGTACCTACTAAAAAGTTTTAAATTACATGTGTAGCTCCATTATGTTTCTGTTAGCTCACGTTGTTTCACTGACCTAAGAAATGTCTACTCTGCTACATTCCAAAACCTAAAACTAGTCAAGACTGAATTAAGCATCCAGAAAATATCACTTAAACAAGATGCATTTTCTTAAATTCCATCAGAATTTTATTGTATTATTTAAGAGCTTATTCAATTATAAAGATTAAGTAATTTCAAGAGAAAATGTTTCTTCAGTCACTTGCCATTTGCTTGATTTGTATACAAAACTTTCTGGTACTCAAATATTTTCTGCTACAGATATTTTGATACAAAGGAAAATTTGATAAAAAATACTTTTATACTTTATATGATCAATATAAAGCAATAGCATCTTCTTTTCACTATTTCCTATAAAACAAAACAAAATGATGTACTTCATAATCCCAAACTTCTATAGATCTTGAACAGTAATAATATTGTAAAGTCATTACATGAAATGACCCTAATCTAAACCTAATTCCAAATCACAACTCATTGAAAAGTATGTCAGTGTAGAACCACAAGGATAATTTATGGTAAGAAAAAAAAAAAAATAGGATGAATAGATTTGCATGCATGTCTTATACAAAGCAAAAATTAATTAAAAGTGTATTTAGTAAAATTTTGATTACCACTTTACTGCTTACTAATTTGCTAACGACATTATTTTAGCTTTATTAACAGAAAACATAATTATTATTGAGGTCATGCTGAGATTTTTTTTCTTGTTTTATTTGGGTGGTATTCTTATATTTTTAAATAATGAGGTGCTCTTGCAAGTAGCTTAAATAATTGATCTCTCAATCTCTTCTAACTGTGTTGGGTGATGTGAATTCTGAAGCAGTGAATCAACGCTATCTTTTTTTTTTTGCTTTATTAACTATTGGTTTGCTCTATTGCCTGTTCACATACTCTTACAGATGCAACTAATTCATGAAATTTCCAACTTAAAGAATTTAGTTAAACATGCAGAAGTATATAATCAAGATCTTGAGGTGAGCATTCATGTGGGTATTTCTATTAATAAATAACTAGAACTATAAAATATATATCATGTAAATTGAACATGATTACAGAAAATAGAGGAATTATATTTAAGTAGAGGAATTGTATTTTTAAATATTAATAACTGAATTTTTTGTTGATTGAAATTATATAAGTTCTTTTTAATACTTTCAAAATCAAATTGTTAACTTCTGTTTCACTTATTTGATTCTTTTAGAATGAACTAAATTCAAAAGTAAAGCTGCTTGAAGAAAAAGAACACCAGATTAAGAATCTACAGAAATACATAGACACTCAAAAGTCAGAAAATATAAAAATGGATTTGTCATACTCATTGGTAAAAATAAGGTTTATTTTGTTGTGTGAATATCTAGACATTTCTAGCGTACCATCATCATCTCCACAGTAAATGCTCATACTGGGCTAGCTACTGGGCATAGTTTTAATCAACTTAATCTCTCTATAACTTTGAGAAATGGACATTTTACAGATAAAGAAGCATTCATACAAAGTCCAGCATATCAATCTTTCAATGAATGTAAATTAGGGACAGTCTTCCATGAAAAGTCAATGATTAAAAAATTTTGAATTTTTTCAGTTGTTTAATAGAAATTCTGAAGAAGTATATAGTCATGATCATAAAATAAGCACTTAAGTTAGAATTGATAAGTAACTAAAATATGTATCATAAGTAGTTGAGCATGACTTCATAAATTTTATTTCAAATAGCTATCCATGTATTCTCATTAGAATTTAAGTAACTAATTTAATAGTTTGTTAAACCTTTTATTAAACAGTACCCAATTTGTTAAATTATCGTACTTAAAGTATTTTTATTATCTATCAAAATTAGATCTCACTGAATCCTTTTTATAATTTGTCTAGGAAAACACTGAAGATCTAAAACAAATGCAACAAACTCTGTTTGATGCTGAAACTGTAGCTCTTGATGCCAAAAAAGAATCAGCCTTTCTTAGAAGTGAAAATCTGGAGCTGAAAGAGAAAATGGTAAATAATTTGTGAAAAATGTAGAAATGTAAAAAAACAGTTCTAATGGTCAGTACATTTTTCTGCATTTTCAATGTTTTTCCTCAATAGAAAGAACTTGAAAGCACTTGCAAGCAAATGGAAAATGACATTCAGTTATATCAAAGCCAATTGGAAGCAAAAAAGAAGATGCAAGTTGACCTGGACAAAGAATTACAATCTGCTTTTAATGAAATAACAAAACTTAACTCCCTTATAGATGGCAGAGTTCCAAAAGGTATTTTATAATTTGTGGCTTCTCTTTGCAAATCTGACTTCCTCTAAAAATGTACCTAATTGATTTGACAACTATATTTCAGTGATTAAAAATCCACCAGACTGATTTTTTTTTAGTAACTTCACATTTATTTTTAATATTCTTTGATGTTAAGTATGTACAAAGTTTCCATTTTCAATGGGAAATTTTCCATTTTCAAATCACAAGGGTTTAAAAATTACTTTTCAAATACACTGGATCTGACCTTGAAAAAGGTTGGTTAAAGAACTTTCAAAATTAGATTACCTATTTGACAACATTGGCCCTCTAATTCACCAAAAACTTCCTAGATTTGCTCTGTAATTTGGAATTGGAAAGAAGGATTACTGATCTACAGAAAGAACTGAATAGAGAATCTAAAGAGAATGAAGCTCTACGAAAAGAAGTTGATTTACTCTCAGAGTTGAAATCTTTACCCCCTGAAATGGAAATGCTGAGGAAAGAGGTAAACAGATTTTTGACTAATTAATCCTTGTTTTAAAATAAGAACCTTTACAAAGAGTGCCTGAAATATTTTTATATAGTTTATTTCTGAGTAGCAGGCAAGAGACATTCAACTTGTTAGCAATGGAACTGAATATATTCCATCTTCTAATTTATTCTTATGCTACTAGATAGAAAAAAAATTTACTTTTGAAATATATTTAACAGCATACTTGGTAACATAATCCATGTCACAGCCATTTTTATAATCATCAAATGTCACATTTAGAAAATTTCATCTCCTATCCTTAGTCTTCACCTTTTTGGAGGGTTTTGTTTCATTTTATTGAGTAAAAGAAAGCAATACCTTCCTGTGCTCATGTATGAATACACAACCAGTATAACTCCACATCATTTACAACCACAAGAATGGAAAGTTATACTTCATGTATGCATAATATGTCAAAATACAATCTATTTTCATGTATATCTAAAAAGAACAAATTTAAATTTTTAAAAATAAATAAATATTTAGATTTGCATGTCTATTTAAAAAGAAAAGCAACGAGATAAAGACGCACCACTAATAAAGCTTTATGAATCAGTATAAATCTTTTAGACTAGGAAATGATTCTTAAGTCCACAGCCTACCAACTTTTCCCTTTCTACTTTTCTGAAAAAAAATAATAAT